ACAACAAATATTTTAGATAGAAAATATTAGAGTAGATAATGAATAGAAACTATTAAATACTCTTTGGAATATTGTTCCCTAAATATTCCTATAATATTCCCTTCATTCTAATGACCTTGTAATGTCTTTATTGTCTCCAAAACAAGTAAATAAATCCTTCTGCTTAAATCTTCTCTCTTGCTCTTCTTAAACACCTTCTTTAAAAATACCGCTGTAACAATATGCAAATAATGGGTGTGTTGGTGGTTCTGTAAAAGTAGCCAACCCTTTGTTTTATAAAAATAAAAAAATAAATAAAATTATATAAATTTTATTTAAACCAAATATAATAAAAAAAATATTTATGATTTCTGATGTCCAAGTAGATAATATCATAAAGGTAATTTCAATATAATATTCCTTATTTTTATTTACATTCAAGAATGTCTGATTATATATATAACAGTGATTTGCAGTATAAATTTTTAAAATACTCTCAGCTATTTGAGTTTCTTCTTCGGTAAGATTAGATATTTTAAGAACTTGATTTTTATTTTTGAAGTTTCTAAATAGTTATCCTCTAACATATCAATTTCTGTTTCATAATCAAAATCCTGAATTCGCCAAATAAACACCAAAAGTATAGGTCATATAATGTAAATTGATTAGTAATTATATTATTATAAACCCATATTTTAGATAGTTAATTCATAAAATTTAAATAAACATACCATTTTTTATGCTTATTTTTATTTTAAGTCTTGTAAATTAATCATTATAAATATTTTTATATTAGCTTTTTGTATAGATAGTTTATGATATTCAGACTGAAATTTTTGAAAATCTTGATCGTTTACTAACTGAGTTCCAGCTCCTGTGGCCTTTTTGCCTTTAAATACTACATTATAATCACATGCTTCAATTGATTCATTCTTTGTTAATATGATTATATTGTTATGAATTTCTGCAAGAAATTCATCAATTTTAGATACAGTAATTTTATACTATTTAGTTGGTAAAAATTTTCTATCTAATTTTATAAAGATATTATAATGAAATTTATATTTGAAATCTTTTTCGAAATTATCTGCTTCTTTCATATAATATGTGTCCTCTTTACTGTTATTATTAGATTCGGAAGAATCTAATAAACCATCACTTTCCAAAGTAAGATCATATATCTTTGGCTCTAATTTGATTTTTTTAGATGTGCATAATTTAGAAGAAGCATTGATTTTATTCTTTACAGATTTAGAGTTGTTGAATAATTTTTTTTAGTTGAATACAATCTTAATAA